CTATCTCCTCCTTCTCAGCTCATCTTCTTCTTCCCTCAAAACCCTACTAACCCTAAACCCATTCAGGAATTTCACAACTGAATGATGGACGCCAACGTCTCGACCGGGAACACAACCTTACCGTGAGTTGAGGAAGGTGTCTCTCGATTGAGACCTTGACTTCCGAGACCTTGATTGTAGATTGCGACGGAGACTTGAACGCGCCCGAGGAAACTTAGACCTCATGGCTGCGAGGATGTTTGACTGGCCGGCAAGGCTTTTGCCATGATCTACTTGCAGCCCATGATAAACGGGGCGTTGGAGGCGATGATGATATCGAGGGGGCTAATGGCACCGACGGCTGCGGAGACGGAGTGGGAAGCCGGAATGAACATCGGCCCTCCTGACGATTGCATCCATGAATGAGGGTAACGACGCCGGGATGATTGAGCCGGCGAACAGACTTCAAGTAGATCCAAGGCGGAATGGACTTTGCCTCGGTCAACCGGACGTGTGGAGAGCGGGACTGCTCATCTAAATCAACAATGGGGATCTTTTGGACGGATTTGGGAGATCAACGACAAATAACCCCAACAATTGACGATTGACGAACCATGGCGGAATGGACTTCACGTAGGTCGATTATGCTCATCGGAATAACATCGCTGATGAACAAAACAAGCTAGCGGGATGAACATCGCTGGTGCGCGGAAGATTAGCTGAATCTACAACTCTGATACCATGTCATAGACCAGTTGGTCCCAATAACTCGAGTTTTTGGGAGAAGGTTATACTGGATCTTATACCACACTCTAACATTGCATGAAAGCCACGTCTCGGGCATGATGATTGCTGCTAGTACCTACTCAATTAAGAAGCTCGCAACGCATTATAGCAGCTACTGCAGCCAGTCACCTCTATAGGTGTCAATTGGGTGGGTTTGGGCTGGGTTCAATCGGGTTGTGGGTTAGTCGGGTTTCGAGTTCATCGGGTTCGGGTTCATCGGATTCGGGTTTAAACGGGTTACGGGTTAGTCGGGTTGCGGGTTCATCGGGTTGCGGGTTCAATCGGGCTGCGGGCAAATCGGGTTCGGGTCGGGCAAGTTGCGGGCGGATCGGGTTACGGGTTGTTCGGGTCAGCGCATCGAGTAACTTACTCCTTACTTGTTACCAACATACATATTTGATTACACTAATTTAAAATATTTTTCTCAATTTTTAACCAATTTCTTTCTACCTCGTATATATGCTTAATTAAAAAAAAACTAGTCAAAATGTTGAATCAATTTGTATGACTTACAAATTGTTATGTAATTAATCGTAATTGGTAAAGTACACTAGCTAATAGTAATGGTGATATCAACATTTGCAATCAAATGACACCATTAATTGTTTATTTGGTATTTTAGTATTATTTCAGTAGTAATTGGATTAAAGTATCTCGTTTAGTATAACCATGCAAATATGGTATTTGGAAAAAGGCAGAGTTGTATAAGGAGTTATTTCGAAATAACTCATTGCCCAAATAACTTCAGTAAACAGTTGCCAAACGAGTTATTTGTAAAATTATTCGAATTACCCTAAAAATTGAACCATTAAAGATTAACTATCAAATTTGGTAAAACTGTTGTGACTTCAATAATAACTTACTCAATAACATATATCCTATACACTTAACATTACCCTCAATCGACAATATTAAGTTAGTATATGTTAATGATCGTATACCCTAAACCATCAATACATTATACACTAACCACATACCCTATGGCCTATACCCTAAACATATATCTTTATGAGTTGTGATTTTGCTAGTATAGTTAATTTGAAGTGAAATTCATACTTTGATTTTCAAAAAATAGATAAAAAGTGATATTTGCTATACCCTAACCATATATCCTATACTCTACACCATATACCTTGTACCCTAACCACGTACCATAAACATAAATTAAAACGGCATCTCCTGCTGTTAAAGACTTCAAATGACTTCAGGTGAACATATGTTAATAAAAACTTAGAACCGTCAAAACCATTAATACCTTATACCCTAACCATATGCTCCCTAAACCATCTGTACCTTATACCCTGTACCCTAACCATATACTTTATACCCTAAACAACGAACCGTCAAAGATTACTTATCAAGTTTAGTATAATTGTTGGCTCATATTCACCCACCCATAAATATTCCATTCTAAAGTTCCCACCCAAACCTCCCTCTCATTTTCCATTCCAAACTGACCAGCAACCCGATTAACCAAAATTTTCAAACCCACACCTTGACTGAGTTATTGCAATCGTATGACTTAACATGCCAAGTTTAACTCCCATTTTGAAATAAAAGTTCAACTCAAACACAACTTAAATGTGCAAAATTTTTAATAAGTGTCGTAAAATAACAATCATGTAGTGTTGAAGTTGCAATGAATGTAGAAGCATAGAAAACAAGTAGACAAATTAAATGAATTTTTCTAAAACAAATTATTGTTGTAACTAATAGTTAATATAGTTATTAGACCATAAACAATTACACATATATTAGCCTTCAAAGCATATAAGAATAAATTTAATTAGTCATGCTCTCCCTATAAAAATTAAAGATTCATATTTCAAAGGCAAAATTTTTGAAAAACCAAAAAATTGAAAACACCAAATTTGTTTCCTTCTTCCTTTTCGAAAAACAAATACCAAAATTCTCCTCCTTCATTCTCTTTCCATAAATTAGAAACACTCAATTTTTCCTCTTCTTTCTCTTCCATAAAATTGAAAAACCAAATTTCCCTCTTCTCTCCTTCCTTCCATAAAAAGTTGAAAAATCAAAGTTTCCCTCCTTATTTCTCTTTCATAATCAAAAGAATCAAAGTTTCCCACTTCTTTCTCTTTTCACAAATCAAAACCACCAAAAGTCCCCCTTGTTTCTTTTCTAAAAAATTCAAGAAACCAAATTTCCCTCTTCTTTCTTTTTCCAAAAAGTTGAATGCACCAAAATTTCCCTCTTCTTTTAAAAGCATCAAATTACCAAATACATTACGTTACTTTATTTATATTTAATTGGTAATTTTATTGAATAGTTAAATTAACCAAAATTTTAATTTATATATTATATTAATATTGTCCATGATCTCAATTATTAATTATTCATTGTTAATATTGACATTGTGCTGATTTTATATGTCATATTTACTTTTTAATTTTGTTAAAGAACTTAGTGTTCAAGTGACCTTCATGTTTTAATTTTTTTTAAATATATAATACCAAGTGAGTTTCATATTTTTTAAATTCCCTATACGAAATGAAAAAATAATTGTACCTAAGTTTAGGATGAAAAAATTTATTTTGAAAAACTATGCATTATATAATATAATAATTTTTCAAGTGGAGTAGGTGAAGTTCGGGTTGAGTCGGTCGGTTTACGGGTTAGTCGGGTTTGGGTCAATCGGGTTCGGGTTTAATCGGATTCGGGTCAATCAGGTTCAGATTAATCGGGTTGCGGGTCAGGCGGGTTATGAGTTGTTGACTTTTAGTCAATTCCAGTTGCGGTCAGGTTTCGTGTCGGGTTGATCGGGCAGGTTATTCGGGTCGGTTTTTTTTTTACACCTATAGTCACCTCCATTGCTACACCTTCCCAAGGATAAGAATTAAAATAAATAAATAAATAAATAACCAGCGGGCAGGCAAGTGGCGGAACAGCTCTTGGCTGCGCGAACGAGCAGTACTGAGTGACGGAAGATCAGATCGGCAGCTCCGCTAGGAAATTAGCCACTCCCTCACCGCCTCCTACCGCACGCAGAGGGGACGCTGGACAAAGAAGCTGAGTTGTAGCTCCTGCAGTAAGAAAGCAAAACACAGAAAAATGTAGCCAAGACACTAACTGAACAAGAATTGAAATCAAAGCCCCCAAACCAGGAACGAACGCCACAACGCTAGCGGCGGCAAAAGAGCCGAAATATCTACAAGAGAACATGCAAGAGAAATAATCCTCATAGCAAATCAGACAAACCGAAAAGGGAGGAGAAAATCACCAATGAAATCGATGTGCAGCGACAGCAGGCAGAAATCTCCAGATTAGAGCCTTGGCGAATAATCGATGTGCAACGAAAAAGGATGGAGACCCTATCCAAGATGTTAATTCTGGACGGACTTGCGACGGTAGATCGGGAATCGTCGAGGATGAGGCCAGAGTTGGCGGTACTGTGCGCCGGGAACAACGAGCCCGATTGGGGGATTTGTCTTGAATTCGACTTACTCTAGTCCGACGCAGAGATGGGCAAAAATCAAAACCTTATTTTTTCTTCCTTCTACTTCTTTCGTGGTGACCAGAGTAGCGGGGAGATGCGGCAGCAACGACACGGTAGGTGGGATCCGTGGGTCAGGACCCTTGATGTTGAAGTATATTGTAACACCTTAGGCAAATCGCACATCGACAAAGTACGAGAGAGATTCATGGTTCATAAGTAGGAAACCGATCTTAACTGACAAGACGCGTTTTGGAGTGTAATAGAGGAGTTCTTATGAGAACTCCGAAATTAAACGTGCTCAATGTGAAGTACAAAAAGGATGGGTGACCTTATGGGAAATCATCTTTAATTGCACCCCAAGGCAAATCGATGTGGGTGTAGAGGCCCAAATCCTCTAAAAGGCGCTGCCAGAACGGCCACACTGTCGAGGTACTATTGGTGAAACGTTCCTCAACTGGAATTTGATGCTGGTTTCGCATAGATTGGCTGGTCCGATACCGCAGCGGATGTCAATAAGCTAATGATGAGGATTTACAAAGACGTGCTTGCCATCCCTGGGTCGACCACTTGATTCTCTTCTTAACCAAAAACAGAGACCTCTGGGATTTGACCCTTCAAATTCTCGACGAGAATGAAACCGAATACTTCAGCCAGAGCGGGCACTACCCTTCTCTCTATTCTGCACTTGAGCTCAAAGCTCTGAACCTGGCAAACGTCGACTTTACGGTGTCGTCTTGGTTCAAGGGATTCCGCCTATAATTGAAAAGTGTAACAGTGGACTATGATTTCTTTGATGGGTTCGTTCGGAAATGCCGGTGCTTCAAGATTTGAGGGTATTGGTTCGCCTGTAATTGAGGCTCCCTGTCTCAGAGTGCTGGTGTTACGCTCCTTCTTGGACAGTATATGCTTCAAGCATACCCCTATTCTATCCATGGTGTCGATTCTAGATGCAATTGTGGAATATGAGGAGAGTGACGAGCCGAAGCACAGTGTCGATATCGTCACCATGTTCACTTCCCTCCCTGCGCTCCAGCACTTGCAATTAGGCTATGAAATTCTGCAAGTAAGTCTTTTGGCCATTTTGCTGTGTTATTCTTTAATCAGGCAACATGGAGTTTTGGTTATGGTTCATCTCTTCTCATGTATGTTCTTTGGGGTTTTCAATTTTCATCTCTAGTTACTCGCTAAGGGTGATCGTGTCCCCAGAAGGCTTCCCACTCGTCTTCACCACTTAAAAACCTTGGAACTGGGCAAGCTTGCATTGGATAGTTTGCACCAGGCCCGTGTTCTTGTTTGTCTGATCATGAATTCTCCCAAATTGCAAACACTCACCCTTCAGTTTCGTTAATTATTGTTCTCCTTCTTGTTTGTGTGATGAGTGAAGGAAATTTGATATGTCTTTCCAACAATCTGCACCTAGTGAGTTTTTTATTGACCAAATGCCTCTTATAGATCTATTCAAGACCACGAGGAAAGGTTTTAATTGGCAGCCACGAGAGTTTGTACCCTAAGAGTGGATCGGGTTGCTGTTTCCGGTTGCTTGAAGAGATGTCAGAGATTCGGACGAAATGGTGTTGTCTCTAATACAAACGATGCCATCACAACATCCGACAAGCATCAGGTCTAGCTACGGGAAGCGAGCCCTGTTGCGAGGGCAGGTCGGGAGGTTTTTCATCATGAATCGGCGGCGAGATTAGGATTTTCTTGTTAAACTTTTTATAAATAATTATGTGGACAATAAAAATTCACCATAGGGAGAGACCTATTCATTCTCTCTCTTCTTCCTCTCTCTTCTTTCTCCCCTGAACTAGGGTTTCGCGTTTCTTCGATTTTTTATGGCGGCTGCCGCTGACTGTGCCCCATTGGGAGTCGTCGGTAGTGGTAGCCCATGGGTTTCTCTATTTGGTATTGCTCTGGATAGTAGGTTGGATTATTACGAGACCGAATTCATCGATGGGGTGCTAAGAATTCTGAGATTAGTGATTGAAGAAGTGTCTAAGCTTCGGGCGAATAGCCTGGTTGGGCAGTTCCTATGGCATCCTGCTTCGATTTCCTCTATCAGATTCTTGGCTAATTGGTTATGGGGAAGAGACGGAGAAGTGCGTATATCTAAGCTTGGTGACAATATGCCAGTGGGGTTTTGAGGGTGGTCCGTGGCATCATCGGGTTAACATGTTGTTTTTGAGGAAATGGGAATCGGGTATCTAGCCTCTCGCGATTGACAACTCCAAAATTCCGGTGTGGGTACGGATTACTAATCTCTCGACTGAATTTGCGAACAAGGAAGGGCTGGGTAGAATTGCTAGTTCGATTGGTAGGCCTCTGTGTATGGATATCCCTACAAGAAGGGGGACAAAGCTTGGGGTTGCAAAGGTATGTGTTGAACTTTATGCACAGTCTAAGAGAATTACCAAGCTTAATATGAAGCCTGATGGGATGATTACTCTTTGGGTGAATTTGGAATACTGTAATTTGCCTCAGTTGTGTGCTAAGTGTGGGGAATTTGGCTATGATTGTGCTGCGACTGGGGGGCTTCAGTTAAAGCATGGAGAGTTAAGAAGGTAGCGGAGGGAGCTTTGATTCCTGCAGGTGCTGATAAGGGCAAATAGGTGGTTCTCTGTAATGAGGAGGAGCCTAGTGGGTATGGTACTGCTCAGGAAGATGTAGCTCTGCCTATCCCCTCCCATATGAGTTGTGATTACGATCACTGTGATTGAGAGCCGTACTCCGCCAACCAGTGCTATTTCACCTATTGTGGATGTGGATGGGTTTACGCTTGTGGAGAATAGGAAAAGAAGATCCAGTCAGGCAACGTCTACTAGAGAGCAAAGGCAACCTTTCCTTGATGCAACTAATTTCCCTTCATTGCAAAAGTCCAAAACAGTTTCTAAAGCTCCTCCTCCTTCTCCAACCAGGGGTCGAGGTAGGGGCAAAAAGTGTGGGAAATGAAGGTTCTGAGCTGAATATCAGAGGTTTTAACACCTTTGATAAACAATCAGTTGTGCTTCATAAGATGAGGCAGCTGAATATTTATATAGCAGCTATACTAGAAACAAGAGTTACTAAAGATAATAGTATTCAGATAGTAAATTAGTCATTTTCAGAGTGGACTTTTGAAGATAACTATAGCAAATCCAATTCTGATCGTGTGTGGCTATTTAGGAAGCCAAGTCTGCAAGTGAAAATAGTTGACGAAGGGGTGCATTTTCTGAAGATTCATGTGACAGGTGCACGTCAAGCTTACATATTGTTTGTGTATAGCCCAAACGGGGAACAGGATCGACGTGTTATGTATAGAGAGCTTCTCGTGCACAAGGACCTTACCCTGCCTCTAGCAGTGCTTGGAGACTTTAATGCTATTGCTGAGGTATCAGATTCTTCTAATATTGTGGATATTAACCAGAGTATGCTTGATTTTCATTGGTGGATTGATGGTATGCAGCTGGTCGAACACAAGGTGTTGGGATCCTAGTTTACATGGTGGAATAAGCAACAAAAGAACCCTATTGCTAAAAGAATTGTCAGGGTTTTAGTTAATGAGGTCTGGATGGATGATTTTCCTTCTAGTACAGTTCATACATCCCCTCTAGGGGTCTCGGATCATTGTGGATTGGTTATTCAGCCTTATCCAAAGTTGGCAACACTCCCTAAGCCTTTCAAGTATTTTAGGTTTTAGAGCTCTCATCTTGGCTATCTGGATATGGTTACTGAAGCTTTGGGTATTTCAAAGAGTGGTTATCCTCATTATTTAATATATATTTGATGGGAAGTTGCAAGAGATGAAAATCAGACTTAGCTAAATAAGGAAGTTTTCTAGGATATCTCAGGTCAGGCGCGTGAGCTCGAGAAGCAATTGGAGAATTTACAAACTGAGGTGTTGTTGCATCTTGATTCGGATAATGTTGAGGCAGAGGCTATATTGGCTAAGAAATAACAAAAAATTCACAAAGCTAAAGAGGTATTTTATAAACAGAAGTCTCGTGCTCAATGGGTTCAAACAGGGGACATGAATACTCCTTTCTTTCATAAAGCATTGCGGGTCAGAACTCATAAGCAGTAGATCACAACTCTGAAAGATGCTAATGGAACTGATGTAACTGAAGTGTCTCAAATGGGGAAGATTGTTGGGGAGTTTTATGCTCAGTTGATAGGAGAGGTAGATCTGAATGTTCAGGGAGCTTTAGTGGAATTCTATGAATCTATCTTGTCCAATAAGGCTACTGATGGTGATAATCTAATGCTTAATAGAGACATTACTAAGGATGAGATTTATCAGGTCTTTAAACAGTTGGGTAGAGACAAACCTCTTGGGCCATATGGGTTTCCTATTGAATTCTTTCTTCTTCACTGGGATTTGATTAAGGCGGATGTGTTTGCTATTGTTTCACAGTTTTATCAGTCTGAGCATATGCCTCGCAAGATCAATGCTACTGTGTTTAACTTAGTTGTCAAGGTGCAGAATGTTGTTCATATGAAGGATTTATCCCTATCTCATGCTGTAATACGCTATACAAAGGTATTGCTAAAATTTTAGCTAATCGTTTGGCTACTGTTCTCCCTTCCCTGTTGAGTCACTCACAATCTACTTTTATCAAAGGAAGGTCTATAACTAATAATATCCTTCTTGCTTCTAAAATGGTTAAGGGCTATCAATCAAAATCAATTAGTTCTCGATGTGTGAGAAAATTTGAGTTAATGAAGGCTTTTAACTCTGTTAATTGGGAGTTTTTGTTTACTGTCTTGGTTGATATGATATTGAAAGGGAAGTTTATTAATTTGCTCCGGGCTTGTGTTTGCATCCCCATGGTCAGTGTTTCTCTAAACAGTGGATTGTGTGGTTTCTTTGGCATGAAGAAAGGGTTAAGACAGGGTGACCCTCTGTCTCCTTACTTGTTTACAATTGCTATGGTAGTTTTAGATGGGTTAATGAAGAAGACTGCACTTGAGAATCAAATCCCTTATCACCCTCGTTGTAAACCCCTAACTATAACTTATCTTTGCTTTGCTGATGATTTATTAGTGTTTACAAACGGGTCAATTAGGGGTGTTGCGGGTGTTAGAAGAATGTTAGATGAATTCTATAGTTTATCTGGCCTTCGGTGCAATCCTGCAAAATGTCAGCGTGCATGAATCCCGGAAGAAGAGAAGCAATCTATATCTGTTTATTCTAGTTTCCCTCTTGGGCAGCTCCCTGTAAAATACTTGGGGGTTCCTCTGATTACCAGTAAGCTTTCTCGAAAAGGATTGCCGTGTATTGGTGGATAAGATCACCCATAGAGTTCAAAGTTGGAGGGCTAAGCTGTTGAGCTTTGCAGGTAGGGTTCAACTTATTAGTTCGGTTCTATCCAGCGTTTTACAGTATTGGATGAACATTTTCTTGCTTCCCAAGTATGTCATCACTGAGGTTGAGAGAATCTGTAATCAGTTCCTTTGGGATATATCAGATACTAGTATAAGAACAAGAGCATTGGTTGCATGGCAGCATGTTGCTCGCCCAAAGAAGGAAGGAGGCCTTGGAATTAGAAACTTCGTTATCTGGAATAAGGCTTGCGTGATTAGTCATGTTTGGAATGTCCTTATATCTAGTGGCTCACTGTGGGTTGCATGGATACGTCGTTATCGTGTTAAGCAAATGTCCTTTTGGGATTTGAAGGTAGGAGATGCTAGCTCCTGGATTTTGAGACGTCTCTTGAAGTGTCAAACTGAAATCCAGCACCTTGTGTCTGGTCAGGGGAGCTCACTGCTCTCGGATGGGGAACCAATGCCACGATACTCTGTCAAAAGAGTATGGGAAGCTATTACGCCTCATGATCCAGCTGTTGGGTGGAATGATTTGATTTGTAGTAAAGAAGTGATACCTCGGCACGACTTTATTCTTTGGCTTGTTGTTCTGGGCACATTGCGCACCCAGGATAAGCTGCTTGCTTGGGGAAAGGCAGTTACAAGGTACTGTTTGTTATGTCCGGGAGGAATCGAGACGTGTTATCATCTTTTCTATGCTTGACCCTTAATCAAGTTTGTTGTTAGCAGCTGTCTGTCATCTCTTGCTCCTGTTGATGGTTTACGGTCATGGGAGGAGGTGATTGAGTGGTGTGTTAGCAATTGGAAAGGTCCATGTGTTGAAGCAGTTGATTGTAGAGCAGTCTGGAGTCTTATGGTTAGTCTGCTTTGGCGGGAACGGTGTGCGAGAATGTATGGGGTGAAGGCTGTCAAGCCCCCTGGAGTTATTTGTAGTGAGATTTGCAGAGTTTTGGCATGGCGAGCAGAAGTTGACTTGGAGCTGCAAAAGAGTCTTCATGCGATCAGATTGGTTTAGTAGCTTTTAATTTTGATGTTTCTGATTTTGTGAACAGTTGTATTGTTTGAGAGGCACTCGTTGAGTTGTTTGTGCTTAATGAAATTTTTACTTAACCATAATAAAAATTAATAATTTTTTTTTAATTGTCACGTCACACATTTAACGGAGACTAACGGCCAATGACCAAACTTGAACTGTTAATCTAATTTATGTGACTACGAATGAAATAAATTAATTTTAGTAACAAACATTATTAAAGAATTCCAATGACCAAACTTGCAATTTATACCAAATAATAATGAAAAGGCAAAAGGGTGCAGCGGCCAAACTTACAGCTTAACAGAAACATATATATTTACACTACCTTTGAACCCGGCCATTGGCGGGTAGGTTTCATTTGATTATTTATCTTTTTCAACTCTTACAGATGAAATTATTTTTATATTATACATCTTTCATTTTCTTGTAGCTATCTTATGAGATTTTAATGTAGGTTTATGAAAATTCAACCTATGAATCAACCATTTTGTACTTAGCTAATAATTTTTTGGTGTAGAATATAACCTATACAACGTAGTAAGTCCAAACACTCAAATCCTAATCAAGAAATATTTAACATTGGTTCATTCACTCATAGACATATATAATTTATAATAAATAATACTTTTTGACAACACCATTAAATTAAGATAGTTAAATTAGTTCTTATATAGTGTCACTATGAATTCCCAGTGCATATAAACATAATAACACTTACATTTTAAATATATAATTTTAGAGATGTCATTAAAATTTGAAATTCTTATCAAACTTATAACATTATGCTTATGAAATTATTATAAATAT